TTCCAGTATAGAATCAGACATGGCTATGGCTGTCATGACTTGTCTTGATCTTTTATGTCATTGATATATATTTTTTTGAGACAGAGTCTTGCTCTGTCAACCAGGCTGGAGAGCAGTGGCGCAATCTCGGCTCACTGCAACCTCCGCCTCCCAGGTTGAAGCGATTCTCCTGCCTCAGCCTCTGGAGTAGTTGGGATTACAGACGCCCGCCACCACCCCCAGATAATTTTTTTGTATTTTTAGTAGAGACGGGGTTTCACCATGTTGGCCAGGCCTGACCTCAAGTGATCCGCCATCCTCTGCCTCCCAAACTGCTAGGATTACAGGTGTGAGCCACCGCGCTCAGCCTCATTGATATTTTTGGTGAATGCCCCCCCACCCCCACCCTTTCTTTTTTTTTTTTTTAACAGAAAACAACTCAGTTTGATGTTTCCTTACATTTAGAATCGGGTTATGTGTTTTTGCCCAGAATGACTTGATATCCATCTGCCCCCTCATTGACAGTGGTAAATTTTGATCACTTGGTCAAGGTGTTATCCAGCTTCTCTGCATATCCCCCCACCTGGAACTTATAACCAGTATATATAGACTTTCAGACCATGCAAATATCTTGCCTATGAAAGTGTCCCCTTAAATTAGTATGCATTGATGTTCGTTACCTGCACTGATCTTTTACTATGATGTTTGCAAAATGATTTTCCAATTCTAGCGCATTCTTCAGCTTTACAGGTTGCACTTGGTAATCTACTATAAGCAGAAGCCCTTCCTTCCCAATTTATTTATTCATTTAATTATCATTATACACTCATAGACTGTTTTTTGTTTTGTTTTAAAACAGTGTCTCACTCTGTCATCCATGCTGGAATGCAGTGTCACAATCTTAGCTCACTGCAGCCTCAAACTTCTGGGCTCAAGCAGTCCACCCACCTTGGCCTCCCAAAGTGCTGGGATTACAGGCATGAGCCACCAAGCCTGGCCTTTTTCAGTGGTTCCAATTCATTATTTTGGTACACAAATGGTCTCAGCTTTAGCTAGACAAGAGACCCTTCAAGCTGGCTCCAACATCCTGGTGACATGCTTTTTTTTTTTTTTTGAGCACTTCTTTTTTATTTCTATCCTAACAAGATGCTTCAGGCTTATCTTGTGGTGACCCTACCCTAGCCCTGGAATCAGCCATTTCTGCAAGGAGCTCTGGGGCTTCTTTTAATGGGAGTGGTATTAGAAACCAAAATCTGGTTTATCCATGATGTGTGATGCACTCTGACCTTTTTCTGTTTCATTAAAAAATTATTTTGGTCTTAGGCCAAATGGATTCCACAACACACATTTTGAAAATACTGCTTTAGGGCAATGTACTCCATTGTCACTGGCATCTTCTGAAAGTCAAGGCTAAACTAGTTTTTCTGCAGTTATTAGTACAGCTCCAAGAATTCCCTGGAAACTAGCGCAGGCCTCTGGGACAGCGACAGGCTGCTCCCCAGTGGCTAGTGCTGGGTTTAGCATGAGGCAACAGCAGGCTGTGGAAATTTTCCATTTTCCAGGCTGCTCTGGAAAATGTCTGTGTAGGTTCATCCTGCTCTCTGAGGTGGGAGCTTATAGTCGACATCTGCCTCTCCAAAGGTTTTACCAATGGTGGCTGCACAGAACTCTTACTGTGACCTTTCCCACAGGCTCAGAGGTACTCAGAGCTTCTAAGGGGGAAGCTTAGCCCACACAGCAGTAGCTTATCAGGGCCAAGCCCTGGGAACCGCTACCTCCAAACCTGACAAGAACAGGAAGCACTTGTTAACAGGGGCAGCTTATTTTTGGTCTAATAGCCAGCTTTTTCTGAACATACCTCAAAAGTTTGGAACTTCGACAGGGACTGGTCCTGTTTTCCTGTGGTTTATCCTCCTGCTTGCCATAGTACTTACTTCTTCTGGCTCATTGCAAGCTTTTAAATTCTCCCACTAAGGATGAACTCTGGCCCTCAGATCCTTTCTCAGCAGCATCAAATGTCCTCTGTGTTTAGTAAAATCATTTGTGGAATTGGCCATAAAATAGCCAATGCTAGTTAATTGTTTTTCTGTTTATCCTTGCTTTTATACAATGTATATTGTAAGAATTATATAAAGCAAGGGACTGAACCACCACATTTTGAAATAGGCAAATTTTCTGGATTGTAAATTTAAAGATTGAGATACAGCGATCCTTCTGTACTGAAGAGGAATAGAGTTGCCATTCTGGTAATTTATTAAATTTTTAAGAATTATTAAATGCTTACCAAATGCTAGGTAATATATTTTTATCAACATCTTCTGAGGAACTACTGGACTGTAGGGCTACAGAGATTGGAAATTTTGCCTCTGTAAATTCCCCATGTCTTGTCTTCCCCCAGCCACAGTGGTTCCTGAACACTGGTGGGCCCAAGATTTTCAGTTAAATTTACCTCTAGATAGGTCACCTGGGAAATAATTTATGCATTTAACACATTTCAAACAACAATCAACCTGCTGAACATGGTTTCTGGAATTAGCAAGTCTGTAATGTTTCTATTTTTTTTTTTGAGACAGAGTTTTGCTCTTGTTCCCCAGGCTGGAGTGCAATGGCAATATCTTGGCTCACTGCAACCTCCGCCTCCCAGGTTCAAGTGATTCTCCAGCCTCAGCCTGCAGAGTATCGGGGATTAGATTACAGTCATACACCACCACGCCCAGCTAATTTTGTATTTTTAGTAGAGATGGGGTTTCACATTGGTCAAGTTGGTCTCGAACTCCTGACCTCAGGTGATCTGCCCTCCTTGGCCTCCCAAAGTGCTAGGATTACAGGCGTGAGCCACCTTGCCTGGCTGGTTTCTATTTTTATAATGCTAAAATAATAATAATGGCAAGGGGGATTCAGGGATTGTATGTAGTCAGAAGGGCTAAGGAGTAGGGAGAAATGATGCCATTTTAAAGCCTGGGCAGCTGAGGCAGAGAAGAAACATCCATCTGTGGAGCTGACCGAGGTGCAAGCTCCCAAGATCTGCCAGTCTCAGTTGCATGGTTTCATCCTGAAAGCAGCTGCCCTTACTTAAGGGACAAAGTCTTTTAGGAGCTGCCCATGGAAAACAAGGCGTCAAAATCCAGAAGCAACAATTCAAGTTTCAGAATGGTGCTATGAGAAAGGAAAAATGTTAGAGTCACAGGAGTTTGCCCTTTAATTGTAAGTAAGACTTCTTGATTCTAAAAAATTTCCATAGTTCAATTCACTAATTCAGAAGAAAGCGTGCATTGCATGAGATCAAAGAACTGAAAATTTTTAAATGATTTGGGTTGTAGCTGGCTCCCAGCTACAGGTGTCACTAATCTCCAATGTTTGGTTACTGTATTTGTGTTGGTTTTGAGACGGAGTCTTGCTCTGTCACCCAGGCTGGAGTGCAGTGGTACAATCGAGGCTCACTGCAACCTCTGTTTCCTGGGCTCAAGCAATTCTTGTGTCTCAGCCTCCCTAGTAGCTGGGATTACAGGCCCCGGCCACCATGCCCAGCTAATTTTTGTTTTTAGTGTAGACGGAGTTTCTCCATGTTGGCCAGGCTGGTCTTGAATTCCTGACCTCAGGTGATCCACCTGCCTCAGCTTTCCAAAGTGGTAGGATTACAGGCGTGAGCCACCGTGTCCGGCCTGGTTACTGTATGTGGATAAATCTCAGGACAAGATGAGGCTGGGACAGGCTCCTCCCACAACAGTGACACATGCATGCCTTTGGTTACAACAAAGGCCTTTTAAGAACTTCAGTCTCCAAGTCTGGTGGGAGGCTTTGTCTTGCTTCCTCAGCCTGGAGGTTCTGTTTTGAAAGAGCAGAGAAGCAGACTGAAATTGAATGGGTTGCAAAGGAGAAACTTTGGAGCCATAGAAAACTTTTTATCTATCAAAATAGGCCATTTCCAGCAGAGGCCTGAATTTAGAACTTTAGAGTTCTAAATTCTGGCTGGAACTTTAGAGGATAACCAGTGGTCCCTAACCCTCTTAGGAGGCACTGGGTTGGATACACACCCTAAGGGGAGTAGCTGGGTCAGGAACCCTTCCAGCCACTTTTCTTTGCTCTATAGGTTATCTTATGAGGCTAACCACCCTCCTTTTCATTCTAGATTATTGCTGTTAACGTGTATGCAGTGTTGCATACACGTGACCGCAATTAAGTGTTAAATCTCACATCTGTGGAAGTTTTGATAGCTCACTTCTGATAAGATTGGCCAGCCAGGTGCAGGTACCGGTGGTGGGCGCCTGTAATCCTAGCTACTCAGGAGGCTGATGCAGGAGAATCGCTTGAACCTGGGCGGCGGGGGTTGCAGCGAGCTGAGATCGTACCACTGCACTCCAGCCTGGCCGACAGAGATACTCTGTCTCAAAAAAAGGCCAGAGGACTCCTGGGGAAAAAAGTCACTTGTGTGTGGTTCCTGCTCTGTGACCCACTAAAAGCTCTGCTGTTAAGGGCAAGGAAGCATGGTCCAGCCCTGTTATCCCCCAAAAGGACACACACAAAGCTCAGTTCTTGAGCTGTGCTTAGGCAATACTATAGTGATCAGTAAGCTAAATGTATTTGCTTCACTTCTAACCTTTTTTAAAAGTGATCTTGAGGAATGCTTTGTTGATCTTGAATTAATGCTTCAAAAAGGGGGTGGGGGAAGATGGGGTATTTCTAAGAAATGTAGAACATTTCAGTTTTGAATATTAAATCTATTACAACTACAGACCCCTTCATAGTCTCCATCCATTCAAAAATACAAAGCCAAAGAATTTCTTGGAAAAAACTAAGGAAGTCCCCCAGGTAACCAGCCGAAGAGGATGAAGAGGAAAGGCTTTCCCTGCCCTCAAGAGGGAAGCCACAGCAGCTGTTTGTTTGTCACGTTACTGCTACCCTGGCTTTTAAAAAGTGACAGGGATCAGGACTTTTGTTTAGGACTTTGATGGATACTCTGTAGTTGAGTATGAAATCCCTACAATGAGTTAGAGTTAGTTTCCTAAATAAATAAACATGGCTACATAAAATTTTATATATATATTTTTTTCTTCCAGTTAACAGTCTTTTTTCTTGGGTGGGTGGACCAAACCCAAGATCCAACCTTCCCCTTACTTCCCACCAAGTAGTACCAAAAACAACTTTCCTCCTCCACTAAGTCCTTAGGGAAGCAGGAAGGCTAGTGCAGCAGCTGTCAGGGATAAAGGCACAGGCAGAGCTGGGGTGATGGAGTTGTCTGGGACAGGCTACCACTAGCCCACTGGAGTCACGGAACCCTGACCCCACCCTCAGCAGGGGAGGTTCCCGATCACCCTCAAGTTCTCCCATCCCATAGTTATATCTTTTAAAGGCACATCTAGAAGTGGTGCAACTGGAGGCAGGTGTAAGCTATACACAGTTGCCACGCAGGGGTTAAGGGGCTGCAGGACTCCATGGCACAGAGGAACGAAGGTGTCCTTGCCCTCATCCAGACTGGGGGCAGGGGGAGACAGCAGGGAGATGGGCTCCTGGAACCCAGCCTGCTTCTGTAAAGGCCCCGGAGGGGCCAACAGGAAAGACCAGGGTTGTGGTCAGTAGTGCACGTGCTTAACAGTTCTTTGGTGCTTGGGTAGCAGCATCTCTCTTATGTACAAAGGCTTCTGAAGCCAGCAAAGCTGGGGAAGTCAACTCCTGCACAGTTGCGGCCTGACTCCTCTCCTGGTGCTGGCCATCGGCTACACAGGGGTGCAAAGCACAAGAAGTCAGTCTAAACTGCAGTGAAAACACAAAGATTTTAGAAAGGGTTTCCTGAAGATAGTTAAATCCTGGAAGGTTACCTTCTCTCCCCAGTTCTACTGAGGAACATCAGAAACTCAGCCCATAAGCCCTACCCAACAGTTTGGCCTCTTGGTCTTTCTCATAGATGAGAAACTCCTAGGTTTTCTCTCCAGATATGAGTTGAATAGTTAAGTAAAAGAAGGGGGCAAAAGTTCTAAAGGCCCAGAGAACTGCCCACCTCACAAGCCCCTGGGCTCCAGAACCAGCCAGTTCTCCGTGACCATCTGCACATCCTGGCCACTCAGAGGCTCCCGCAGCCTCACCTTCACTTCCAGCTTCCCCCCGGTGGGCTTCCTTCCATCCAGGACCTGTGAGGACCACAGAGAGGGAGATGGTAACTAAGGGGACAGAGATGGGGAACAGGCAGGTCCCTACATTCCCAGGAAAGAAGTGAGAGGAGCTAAGATGTCCTGTGGCATGAACACAGGAGTCTCCATTCATGACAACCCTACCCTCCCAGTATTTGGAGGAGGAAGTGGTGGTGGTTTTAGGTGAGTCTTATTTAAAAAGTAATAAATAAATCTAGACAAGCATGCTAGAGCTCTGTTCATTTTCTCCTCAATGCCCACGACAACTTCCGGACGAAACATTGGTTGAAGAAGCAGCCTTCCACTGACCTAAACCCTCACTTCACAGATGGCCAAGACAGAGAAGCAGATGCCTCTATGTGGCAGAGTCGGCACTGGAACCCCATGCCCAGGGTTTCTTCCATTCACCACACTACTCCCTCTTCTGGGCAGAAGATGGGGCAGTCAGGGTACAAAGCAGTACAACAGGCCCAAGAAGTCCAATCACCCTCAGTGGCTCCAATAGAGACCAGGGCCCACTTAAGAACAACTTCCCCAGGCAGGCAGTAGGGGTAGGTGTGCTGCAGTGGGAAGAGCCTCAGCCTACACAGGTTATCAGTAAGGAGCTGGTCATGGCTCTGCCAAGACACACCATATGAACTTACAGAACCCTCTTTCCTCTTGGACCTGAGTTTCCTCATTTGTCAGAGGCAAGGTCGTATAGTCCTTGCCTGTGGAATCCACTGAGTTCATGGAAACAAGGAGGCTGCCTTCTGCTGGGTCCCTCTATGAGATTTCTCAGACCTTCTGAACCTCTCCATCTGTGCAATGAGGATTCCACCTACTCTAAGTACACTTGTGGAGAATTTCAAATTAAGTTATGAGCACAAAAACCTACAACAAGGTGTGGTGTTCAGTGCATACTGGCTCTTGTCGTACCAACCCCTTTGGCTTGCCCACACCCCAGTCCCTACCTCCACAATTTCTCTGATCTCACACTCATTCTCCAGCCGCTCCAGTTTCAGGTGTGCTGTGCCAACCAGTTTGTCGCTTCTGAAAAAGGACCTGGGGAGCCAAGAAGCAGCAGAGGATTGGACTGGGCAGGGAAGGCAGGAATGTGCTGGCTGAGCTCATGCAGGGGCAGCAGTGACAAATGCTTTTCCCTCCTCCCAGCCCACGTGGCAGTGTGACCAATGGGAGCCTCACCCTTTGTGGAAAATCTCAAACTTGATGCCTTTGCTCTGGATCACCCTCTTGAAGCCCCGGTGGTTTCGGTTGATGTTTAGTTTGAAGAGTTGATCAAATTCTGGCAAAGGGGGAGAAAGCAAGGAGGGACTTGGCTCTCGGGATTTCCTGAGGAAGTGGAAATGGAGGCCCAGGGCTGGCTGCCTTCCCCCGATCTCTCCACCTGCATTTTGGGGTGACTGCCTCCAAAGGGTGGTAGAGCATCGAGGTCCTGGCCTTGGAAGTGAGTTTTTGTACTCTTTTTAGACATAGATTATAACAAAGTAGGAAAGACTTGGAATTGGGATACAGAATTCCCGGGTTCATATCCCATTTCTACCACTTCCTTGCCATGAGGCCCCAGGCAAGTCCCTGTACCTCTGCGCATTTCTCCAACTACAGAAGAGGCATGTTAACAGCACCTTTATCTCCCAAGTGGGGTGGATCGAGTAAGGGCATAGATAGGAACCCACTCTGGAAACACCAGTGCTGCCCACACTCTCTGAGAGAGAGGAGAAAGAGGCCCACATGTGGCCCTCACCTGGAGAATTTGTGTTCTTCACCACAGCTGTTTTGCTTTTTTGAGCTTGGTCCTAAGCAGTGAGGAGGGAGAAGTCAGGACAGCATATAAACACAGAGGCACACAGGGCAAGCACTGCAGCCAGGCCTCCCAGGGATGGGAAGAAAGTGAGCACAGGGTCCTGGAATGCAAGGCGGGTTTCAGAGGATCCTACTTCTACCTGAAGCTCACCGAGTTAGGATAGTGAAACTCAAACCGCACAAAAGCATCCAGGTCATCAGGAGTCACCCCTGGGAAGGAGAAAAGGGAGTCAAGTCAGAGGGAGTGGCCAGGAGCCTAGCACTTGGGGTGGAGTGTCCGGGCAAGAGCCTCCTGGAGTAGGGGCGGCCCTAGGGTTACCTGGAGGGGCTGGGAGGTTCATTCCCCGGACAATGATCAGATGCATTTCTGTGCTGTTGAGTTCGGAGAAGATCCTAGAGCCAAGAGGGAAGGAGAAAATGCTCAAAGTGAAGGACAGTGGTGGAACAAGGTCTCTTCTTCCAGGGCCTGTATGCTCAGCTGGGTGGTGACAGGAGGGAGGGAAGGCAGAGCTGGTATGCAGACCTTGGTCACTGACTTCTGGTCCAGAGCTCTTTCCACAGCACCTAGACAGCTGTGCGCTCTTCACTGGCATGCACCCTGTCCTACTCCTCAGCAGCCCCAGTGCCCACAGTGGGGCTAGGCTTGGCAAGCCTCACTAAAGGGGTAGAAGTCTCTGGCCTGGGCTCCCAGCCTCCTGCCCCTCCCTGCCTGGAGCTCCTGTTTCCCTAGGCCTTGGTACCTCACAGTCTGGAATGTCTTCAACTCAAAGTGGTGGCTGGGAGGGTCAAGGCCCTGAGCCTGGGCCAGCTGCAGGATCTCCAGCTGTTTCCTGCGGTCCTGAGCAAGCTTCTCAAATCTAACAGGGATGGGTACGTCAGCATGACGATGGATTTTCTGCTCCCCACCCCAGGAGCCCAGCCCCAGCCCTTGCACTTACCGGGTGGTCTCAGCCACGTTGCCCTGGTGCATGAACTGCTTGGAGAACAGGAGGCACTTCTGAAAACAGAGGCCCAGAGTGACTCCCGAGCCCAGAGCAGGACCTGCCTCGGTTGGCATTCAAGGGTAGACTTCTTAAAGCTTCAACCTTCCTCTGTAGCCTAACCTCTCTCCTCCCATAACACAACCCCAAGGGCACTACTCCCAAGTCCCATCAGGTTTCTCTGCCTACACTTTTGCCATTTTCTCTTCTGAGGTCAGCCATTCCCCAAATTAGCAACTCCTTCCATCAAAACCTAATTCAAACATCCCCTCAGAAGGCAGCCTTTCCAGAACAGGTGGCAGTTCAGATAGATACACACATAAACATACACGCACATCACAATGTTCTTTCCCTCTTCTCTATTGTTTGAACTCTGTACCACCCTGAAAGAGGGGTATTATCACCCCATCTCACAGATGAGGAAAATATAGTTCAGAGAGGGAAGTGCCTTGCCCAAGTTACACAGCAAGTAAGTGGAAGAGGTAAGAATTTGAGTCCAGGGCCGTGCGGTCTGAGCTCCAGGCCTTCTTCCATGGGGAGGCTGTGGGCACAGAGGGGAGGAACAGACGAGGGGCCTGCTGACCTCTTGTTGCTCCAGAAGCATTTTTTGCAGCTGGGCATACACCTCCTCCACCTTCTGGGAGAGTCGAAGGTCCTCGTGGTGGATGAGGATGAAGTCACCCTCCTCATCCGTCAAGGGCGAAGGCACCTACCCAGGTCACAAGGCCCCTCGGGCCCCAAGAGTCAGATTACTCCTCTACCAAGTCCAACAAAGGCAGGAACCCAAACTAAACAATTCCTCAGCTTCTACTACAGTCCACTGATGACAACTCATCGCCTCCCATTCTATCCCAAGATAACACTCTTGCCTCTCATGGCCTGGCCCAGCCTTGTCATCTCTGACCACGGGCAGCCCACCTTCCCTTCTCCTGGTTTCCTTTGGGGCCGTGAGTTAGAGGGGTATAAGCAAAAGGCTCTTTCCCAGCTGTCATCATGTCCTGTCCAAATCCCACCTCATCCCAGAAGCTGCCCTCGTTCACAGCCTGTCAAGCCTGCCAGTCACCTTCTCCGCCTGAGAAGTCCTGGTGGTTAACCAGGTGGGACTCACCTTGGACAGATCAACAGGTCTGCCAGCTCGGGCCTGGATGATCTGAGCCTCAAGACATTTGGCCACCCGCAGATGGGCTTTGGCCTGCTCCAGGTCCTGGCTTCGCTTGGCCTGCAGGGCTGCCCGCTGGTACTGCAGTTTCCGTGCCTCCAGCAGTGCCAGCTGCTCCCGCACTAAAGGGAGAAGGCTACTGGTTAGGGCCACACCTGCCCTCCCTAGGCCCTCAGTTCTTTACCCTGCTTGTCCCCAACTCACCAGATGGACTAGGTGACTCCTTAGAACTTGAGGCCTTGGGCTCAGGCAGGGGCTGAGATGAAGGGACCGCGGGCCGTGCAGGTTTCTTGGCCACTGGGGCCTGTGCTGGGGGCTCACCCTGCAGGTGCCCAGGAGGCTGTTAGGAGGGGATCTGTTCCCCAGCATGGCCAAGGTGGCTCCCAGACTTGCTTGGGCTATCTTTCTAACACTGTACTAAATCACTGTGTGACCTGAGATGGGTGGCTTCTCTTCCTGGGCCCTAAAAGATATGAGAGCTAGAAGCAGCCTCAGAAGCTCTCACATCTAACCTCCCCAACAGGAGACAGACTGCAGGATAATGGGGACAGAGCCGGAGCTCTGGGTTCAGAAAGACCTTGGTTTGAATCCTAGCTCTGCTATTTCCTAGCTGGGTGTCCTTGGACAAGTTTTTTCTCTGTACAGTGGAGAAAAGAATATGTACCTTATTGGGCTTGTTAGTATGGACAACAGGGTCTGGGTTTACCCCTCACCTGCTATTCTCCCCACCAGCCCTGAAGTCGATCCCTCAGCCAAACCTCGTCCTCGTCTTCATCAGCTGGGCCTGTATCCTCTGCGGAGGCCAGTTTCTCTGCAGCTGCCAATGTCGCTGCCACTGAGTCCTCTTCAACACCCATAGTGGGCTCCAGGCCAGGGATAGGGGGAAATCCTGTGGGAAAGAGACAGCATGGGAGGGGCAGGGAGCAGCCTCAGAGCAGCACAGAGCTACCCAGGGCTCTGTCTGGGGCATGGCTCTGCTGAGCATGGCTGGGATGGATGGCTCCACAGTGGGAAGGCAGATGCATGAGAAGTCATCCCCACTGGCTGTCCCCCATTCCCTTCTTGCCCAGGGACCACCTCCTCACAGCACCCCTAGGCCATGCCCCACTCACCTGGAGGAACAGGCAACTCAGCAAAGTTGACTTTCCGTCCTGCTCGGTGTGCTCGAATAGCATCTTGATATTGCTGCAAGGGAAGGAAGGGAGGGGCCTGTGGTTGGCAGCAGCCCATAGGCCCCCTGCCCAACATGACACACAGTGGGGCAAGGAGACGGAGACTGGTGGGAAGACAGCAGCCCTGGGAGAAAAAAAGATCCTTGAGGCAGCAAGAGCCCCAGAGAGACAAAGAGATGAAGGTTCAGAAAAGATGAGGACTAGCCGGAGGACCAGGGAGACAGAGCACCCAGCCAGGGAAGAGGCCAGCACAGGCAGGGGCTGCACAGCCGCGGGCCCACCTTGGCAATGCGCTCATGCATCCGAGCCTTGCGCTCATCCCCACCACTCCGGGCCTGGATGCCTGCCTCGCGGTACTTGTTCAGCCTTTGCTGCAGGGCATCCAGCACTGTCTGTGACTCTGTAGGGGCCACTTGAAGGAAAGAAGGAAGAAGTGGGCATCAGCTCAGCCTGCCCCCCAATGCCTGCAGGTCCCCACACCACAGTCCCACCATCCTGCCCTACCTGGGGTTGCTGGGATGTCAGGGGCCATCACTGGCTGCACTCGCTCCACAGCTGGGGGAATGACTGAGGGTGCTGTGGGAGCCTGAGACGGCTGCCGGGGCTTCAGATCTGGGGGACCCAGAGTAGAAGTGTAGGTGGGAGGGCCTGGTCAGCCCCAGGCCTGCTACTCCTCCCCAACCCCACCCCAGCCTGAGCAGATACATACTGACCCTCAGGTGCCGGAGGCATGGCACTCAGATCCACGGGCTGCCCCTTCTCCAGGGCCTCCAGGACAGCACCGAATCTCTGCAGAAGTTGGAAAAGCAGGTGTGGGCAAAAGCCAGGGGACTCCAAGAGCCTGGGCTGAAACAACCCCCACTCAGGCCAATCTCACTCAATCTCAGTCTAGCTCCCTTTCTGAGTCTCAGTTTCCCCCATCTATAAAATGAGGGTAGGTGGCCTGAGCCAGATGCCATACCTTCCCAATCCTCATGAGCTCTCGTGCACGGTCTAGCTCGCCAGCCCGCTTGGCACTGAGGGCAGCCACTTTGTACTCTCTCTGTCGGGATGACAGCAGGGCCCGTGGGTCTGGGTCTGAGTCTGAAATGGGCTGGGCAGAAACGCCAGGGAGGCTGGTCTCAGGTTGGGAGGGGTTGTCTATAAGGAAGCAAACAGTCCCCAGAGAGCACATGAGCGTCACAGAAGAAGGTGCCCATGGACCTCACTGGCCTGAGGATGTCCTGGGGAGGATGTGACCAATGGTAATGAACAGTGGTGGCAGGTTGGGGAGACAGGCTGTGGGCTATGACCCCAGGAACTAGACCAGGATTTGGGCATCTGCAGATACCTGACTCCAAGGCAGGGGGAGCTGGAGGGTCTGCCTCAGGGCTCCTGTTGGCTGGTTCCTGGGGGACCAGGGGCCGCTTTCCTAAGGCCACTGGAGGTGGGATCTCATCCTCATTGATCTTTCTGCCTCTCCTCACAGCGGCTAGCTGCGACTCCAAGGTCTGAGGGAGAGAACTGGTCCAGAAACCCAGCCAGCCATCTTAGCCCAGACCCTGCTCCAAGACAGGCCAGGGGTGGCTCCCCCACCCCCAAAGTCTGGTGAGGTGACCTCCCCTCCACTGGTGCAATCTCCACCAGCCGCCTTCCATGAAGTCCCCTCCCCTGCCCTGCTCCCAGCCTAGCCCGACTCACCTTCAGGCCGCGCTCGCAGCGCCTAGCTTTGGCGGCTTCGCCTGCCTCTTTGGCGCTGGCCGCAGCCTCTCGGTAGTTGCGAATTCGTTCCTCCAGCAAAGCGTGTAGCCCCTGAGATGCTCCGGCCTATGAACAATTTGGTTAAGGGCCTGGCCACTCCAGGGCCTGCTAGGCCTACCACTCTCCCTCTGCGGAAGCTGCCCCCAGAAGATGGAGCTCTGGGACTCCAGGAGAAAGAAGAGCCTAAAAGCCTCAAGGCAGGAAGCAAAGGCTCACTGGAGAGGCCAGAGGCCATGGCAGAGGCAAATACAGAGCACCAGTTGGTGGAAGCCAGGAAATGGCTCCCGGGGGTGGTCTGGGAGAACAGAGAGGCCTTTGAGACTGGCAGCCACGGAGGAGTTTCTTGTGCTCAGTTTCTGCTTGGGGCGGCTGCTGGAGGAGGGTCCTGGAAAGGGTGACTGCGGCCTTGCCGTGCAGGCCAGGCCACACACGTGTTATGTCTGGGCACACAGGAGCATCAGAGGCACAGGGGCCCTCCGCCAGAACCCACCTGAGCTGCTGGGGCTGAAGCTGTCAGGACAGCTGTCTGCACTGGAGGTTCAGTGTCTTCTAGGCCCTTCTCCTCCTCAGAGCCGCCTGGGCCAGCTGCCTCATTACCATCCAGGGGCTCAGTCTCCTCGTCCACACCTAAGACCTCCTGCAGCTCCGTCTAGGGAGACAAAACACAGCCCAGGAGCTTGGGAGCCTCAAGACCATACCCACGACATGACCTGAGAGTAAAGGACCCTCTCTCCCAGCGATATTCCCTAACGTCAGTCACTGTGCCTCAGTCCCCTTCACCAAAACATTTCTTTAATCTGACCAAGGATAGCCTCGAAAACAGTAATTACTCCAAATCTCAGAATTCTCAACCGCAGAGCTTAGACCAGAAGTTAGAGACACGCCACCCATTGTACGGCCAGGAGGGGCAAGCACTCACTCAGAGTCAGAGAACAGAGGGGCACCCCCAGCCTCTCTCCACTGCCCTCTCCTCCACCAGGCCCAAGCTTGCCTCAGAGCCCTGGGATACCAGCCTGGCAGACACACCAGCAACTCTGCATCTTCCTCCAGCCCTTCCTCCTCCTCCTCCTCCTCCACATCCCGCATACAGTCTGCTGCCAACTTCTCGATGTGGGCCATGGGCAGGGGGGCTGGGGGAAGAAGGTCACAGCAGGTCAGCACAGCACAGGTAAGGTCGGGGATGAGTAAAGGAGGGGCTTGGTAGATCCACCCAGACAGAAATCCCCTTTCCCTCCCACGGCAGAGGCCCACCTGGAAAACTGCTCTTCCTCTAGACCTAGTTCAAAAGACCCTCAACAGGGAACCCTTCCTCGGCCCCCCACCAAGCAACAAGCTGCTCCTTTCTCTGCACCTCCACCTACAGTAGCCTGACATAGACATGACCATCCACTCTCTCCAACCACACCTTTCACATCTGAAAAGATTTTCAAAGTCCAATTGAGCTTCACAACAAATCTGCAAGATGGATAATATCCCCTTTTCATATACTGAATAAACTGAGAAACTTCCAACATTAGTTTTCCTATCACTGCAATCCTAGTAAGTGGCAGAGCTAGGATTCAAACCAAGGCTTGTGCCACCCCAAGGCAGGAGCAGCGAGCCCCTTCCTAGGTCCTCCCATTATCCTCAGCTCAGGGACATACAGAATGGTGGGGATGGGCGGGGGAATTCTCTGAGGGTTCCTGGTGAAAAGAGAGGAAGATTTAGACCTCCTGATCCTCCCAGGCCTAAAGTCTCTGTTCTCATCTGGGCTGTGGAGGGAGATTTCACTTAACTCACTGGACACAATTTCTATGTACTTCCTATGTACCCAGTTCAGTCTGTGCAACTGGGCCCCTACCCTACACCAGTACCGTGGCTAGGGCTAAGGATGGGGACCTGAGTCAGTCTGAGAAACACATTTGTCCACAATGGGGAGGGGCCAGCCCAGGCCATGACACAAGGTGGGGAAGCAGGGTGAGGCCGCCTCTTGGAGGGAGTGCTGCAGAAGGCACATGGGTATTGGAAGGACCAGGGGATCTGGCTGGCTCCCTCCAGCTGCAAGGGAACCCCTCTACCATCTTGTCCCAGCCTGTGCCCATCTTGTCCCAGCACCAAGCCCGGCCCTGTGTACAAACTCACCCTGCCCCTTGGGTGCTGGCTTCTTGCCTGTAGTTTGTGCTTCCCCTGTGAGAGCCAGCAGCTCAGCCTCCAGGTCCTCATCATCTTCAGCCTCATCTATGCCCAGCAGCATGTCCTCAGGGCCAAACTCCATAAACAGCCCCATCTGAGAGCAGAGCAGGACTCTCAGGAACCACACAACAAGGAGGGTAGAGCTCAGCTCCAGAGCCAGACTTGGGACTCTCCATGTCCCCATCAGTGGCTCCTTCAGCCTGTGAGGCCCAATGTGCAGAAAGAAACTGAGGCCTGCAACATTACTCCTTGAGAAACCTTCCTAGGGACTCAACAAAAAACCCAGCAAGGCCACACTGAAACTGAGACAGTCTTGTGAGAGAGTCAGAATTTAAAACACACTACCATTATTACGACTAACAGCAATAGCTGCCATGCACTGTTCTTAGTGTTCTATGTGATTATCTTAACTATCTCAGGTAATTCTCACAATTCTGAGAAGGTCCTATATTTTAAAACTCTGGTAAAACATATACAATATGAAATTTATCATCTTAACCACTGTTAAGGGTGAGTTCAATGGCATAAGGACATTCACACTATCCTGCTACCATCGCCATCATCCACCCACAGAACTCTTTTCATGTTGTAAAACAAACTTTCTACCCATTAAACATTAACCCCCCTTCCTCCCCTCCTTCCAGCCTCTGGTAAGCACCATTCTTCTGTTTCCATGAATCTGACTACTCTAGGTAGAGGTACATCCTTTTTTTTTTTTTTTTTCCTGAGACAGAGTCTGGCTCTGTTGCCCAGGCTAGAGTGCAGCGGTGCTATCTTGACTCACTGCAACCTCTGCCTCCCGGGTTTAAGCGATTCTCCTGCCTCAGCCTCCCAAGTAGCTGGGAATACAGGCACATGCCACCACACCAGCTAATTTTTGTATTTTTAGTAGAGATGGGGTTTCACTATGTTGGCCAGGCTGGTCTCAAACTCCTGCCCTCAGGTGATCCACCCGCCTCAGCCTCCCAAAGTGCTAGGATTACAAGCATGAGCCACGGTGCCCAGCTCACATTCTGTTTTTATCCCAATGTTCAGATGAAACTGAGAGTCTTGTGAGACAGTCAGAATTTACAACAAGCTCTTTGCGACTTGAGTCTATGCCCTTTACCCCACCTCCTTTCTTACCTTTTTAAAGACAGTAAAAATGGACTAAGAAATCTCAAGACGTAGGCCCAGAAGAAATAAATGAAGAAAATTGGTGAGGAAACCCCCCTGTTCTTCCACTTGGGGCACAGCCATCTGTTCCTAGGCAGTGAAATCCTCCCACTGACTACCGCCCTCACATCCTGGCATCCCTCACTAACAAGCAAAGTTGTGACCCTATCTGAGGAACCCATGAGAGCACAGAGGTCCCATCAGAACATCCTAAACTTTGGTGATTCCTGAACCCTCTCCCCACTTGTGTGTGGCAGGGACTAGTAGGAGGGTGCCTAAGGGCTCTGCCACCTCCAGGAGACACTGCTCCAAGTCTCTGAACTAATGGGGGAACTACATGTGATCCAGTTTGCCTAAGCTGTCTAGGGACTCCCATCCCCAAACCGACCCAGTAGCCTAGAAGGCTAAGTTCCATACCTGCTTGGCAGCGGCCACCCCTTGGCCTCTGGCCTGAGGGCCCTTCCGAGGTCTTGGCCCTGGCATCGTGGCAGCCTAGATACCTATGGAACAGTTACAGAGATTCAGGCTGGAGTAGCCCATAAGCCCCGCCCCCAACAGTGCTACCTGTGGTAAGGTGTGGATAGTAAACTCCCAAAGAAGGCAATGCTGAACACCAAAGGATGGATTACCTTTAATTAAAGCACTGAAGCAGCACAGGCCATGGGAGGGATGGGGATCACCTGTCAATGGGTTTACTAGGGAGTGTTCTGAACGGACTCAAATTTAAAAAGCACATTCAGGGAAGTACTCTAGGTTCAGGGTGGGTGGAAGGCTGGGTAGAATTCAGAAAGGTTCTAAAGCTGTGTTTATGGAAGCTACAGCTGGCTATTTAATTTTAAATTGCAATGAATTAAAATGAAATAAAGCTAAAAATCCAGTCCATCAGCCACAACAGGCACATTCCAAGTGCTTAACAGCCATATGTGGCAAGGGGCTATGACAAGACAGCACAAACACAGAACATTTTCATCATCCAAGGACACTTCATCAAAGTTCCATCTCACAGCTGTGCTCTGGAGAAAGCTGTCCCAGCATTCTGATTCCCATAAAGATCTCACAGTCATTCACAGGACCTGCTGCGTCAGACTTTGTGATGGGCACTGGGAGCGCAGGAATGAATCTAAGACGGTCTCAGCCCTCAAGGACCATGTATATGGTGGAGGTGGACTACACGGGGTTGCCCCAGGGGCTATGGGTGCCCTGAGGTGACCCCTTCTTCAGCACTGGGAGAAAAGCCGCCTCCTTCGAGGCGGTGATGCCTGGGCTGAGTCACGCAAATAAGTTGGAGGAAAGAGGGGAATAGGATTCCTAGCCGAGGGAACACCTGATGGCTCTGAAGTGGGGAGCAGCTTGGCTCGTACAAGGGAACCTGAGGCCTGGTATGACTGGGGCATAAGCGGTGAGGCCTGAATGCACAAGCCGAGATGGAAGCGGCACAACATGAAAACCTCTAAGCCGAAAAGTGTTTGGGCATTATTCTGAGGGCGCTGGGAAAGAAGTGGCAGGATCGGATCGGTGTTTCAGAAACCCCACTCTGGCGGCAAAGGGTAGGTGCACAGGAGGTAGGGGGTGAACGCAGGAAGCCGGCGCATCTCGCCACAGCCCAGGCGAGGAGACCAGCTGACGGGCGTGGGGGCGGCGGGGAGCGGGCGGAGGAGCTGGCTGGCGCTCCGGGAGACTCTCAGTGTCAGATTTCGGGACTTAGGTGAGCGGCAGGGCCCCGGGAGTGACCCCGGCTCAGGTGAAAGCGAGACCAGTCAGACACTCCAAGGCTGCGGCCCCGATGACAGAGCCAGGCCTCAGGAGAGATGGGCAACGGAGTCCGTAGGGGGAGGCGACACGGGACCCCCACTCCCGCGCTGCGGGACGCGCCGCCCTGCCCCGCCCGCGACGCCTCCATCTCCCCCGCGGTCCCCCAGAGCTCCCCACGCCGAGGGGCGGGGACGCGGCATACCTCGAGGTGAATCCCAGCCAAAACCCGGCCTTCTCCCACCCGGCACCGCCCTGGGCTCCCGCGGGCCCTGGGCCGCAGCGGTAGCGACAGGAAGCGCCCGCCGGGGAGGCGGCTCGCGCGCAACACGTGACCCCACTAGCCGACGGCCGGCAGTGCGCATGTGCACAGCCCCCTCAGGCTCCGACAGGTGACACCAGGGCGGGGTTCGCAGTGCGCAGGCGCGTTCCGGCAGGTAGCGCGGGACAAGAGCGCTGGGCGGTTCCGCCCGGGCGTCCACTGGCAGGCTCAAATGAGGTCGCGGGGCCCAGCCCTCGCCCACTTGCAGCCTCTCCGCCGAGCCTCCTCCCTCACGCAGCCCAAGGCGCTGAGCGCTTGCTCGCTGGACCTACCCCGCCTCGAGCCCTGGCCCCGCCCCACCGAGCAAGAGGGCGGGGCCTACCCAAGCTCCGCCCTGGAAGCGAGACAGGGGCGGGGCTCGCCTGCTTGTCCATGTCCTTTAAGTCTGGGGAAGTGGAAATGGGGCCCACCATATTTTTCTTAATAATTCAGCACCTGAAAGTATCATTTTCCGGTCCGTTGAAAACTTCAGACAGGCAGAGCTCGCTGCACATCTTAAATAATTCAGAGAGTCTAACACTAAGTTCTCACTCGCATGCCCTGCTGTGCAATCAAATGGCATAAGGAGAGAAATGGAGTGTGCCCCTTTTCTGCCAAGCTTGTGTCAGTCACTTATCATAATGGAGCTTATACCAGTTCTCTATCCTGCAAGATGGACATCATCTCTAGAAGAAACGGAGGCTCAGAATTATTTGCCCAGGGAAATACAAAACCAACCTCTTTAACATCGGTAAATATGCTCTAGTCTAGTTTTCTAAGGAATGCAGGTTTCTCCTTGTGGCTTGCAGAGTCCAGTTAACAAGAGATTGAGCTCAGGAGTCCGAGACCAGCCTGGGCAACATGGTGAAACCCTGTCTCTACAAAAAATTACAAATATTAGCCGGGTGTGGTGGTGCGTGCCTGCAGTCCTACCTACTGGAGAGGCTGAGGCAGAAGAATCGCTTTAGCCCCGGAGGTCCAAGCTGCAATGAGCTGTCAACTGCACTCCAATCCGGGTGACAGAGTGAGACCCTGTCTCAAACTAAAACAAAAAAACCGAGAGAGGAGTAATGGGGAAGTGGCCAGATTCCCATCTAAAGTAACCACTTCGATTTTTGGGGGAAAGAGAAGGGCTTAAAAGGAAAATGTGATATGGGAAGCATGCAAGAATTGTACAGAGTACAACGTCTGTGTGTCTTGTTCTGGTGGCTATCTTGGGTCCCAGCCTACCTGGAGTGTGGGCTGGTCTCATCTCCACAATGGCCCCGCTGTTGACTAGCCAGCCACCTTGAAGTAATCTTTGGAATTTTGCAGCTGTGTCTCCAGGCTTGGTCTGTCTGTCTCAAGATTAGCCCTTGGAACTTCTAAGAAGGCAGATAATTAAATACTAGCATACAGTAAGATAAACGTGAAGGGAGTATATACTGTGAGAAAGGGAGGGATGTGGGATCTATTTTAAGGCTAAGGGAAAAGGCTTTTGCAGTTTGCTTCAAGGTTATATCTTGAAACCCAAGAGAAAGGAAAAAAAGTTTTAAAATGTATTTTAAACTGCTGGATTAGTTTCTTCTGTCTAAAACGTTGCCATCTCCCCTCCTGCCTATGCCTTGAACTTTTAAATTATGTTTCGTAGTTAGCGGTTTCAAAGATCTCCCAGTTTACTTGGACAAAGGGCTTTCCCATCTCCTGATCGCTTACCTTTTTTTTTTTTTTTAAGACGGAGTCTCGCTCTGTCGCCCAGGCTGGAGTGCAATGGCGTGACCTCGGCTCACTGCAAGCTCCGCCTCCCGGGTTCACGCCATTCTCCTGCCTCAGCCTCCCGAGTAGCTGAGACTACAGGCGCCCGCCACCATGCCCGGCTAATTTTTTTTTTTTCTTTTTTTGTATTTTTAGTAGAGACAGGGTTTCACCGTGTTAGCCAGGATGGTCTCGATCTCCTGACCTCGTGATCCGCCCGCCTCGGCCTCCCGAAGTGCTGGGATTACAGGCATGAGCCACCGCGCCCAGCTTTTTTCCATTTTTATTTATTTATTTATTTATTTATTTATTTTTTTGGAGACGGAGTCTCGCTCTGTCGCCCAGGCTGGAGTGCAGTGGCCAGATCTCAGCTCACTGCAAGCTCCGCCTCCCGGGTTCACGCCATTCTCCTGCCTCAGCCTCCCGAGTAGCTGAGACTACAGGCGCCCGCCACCATGCCCGGCTAATTTTTTTTTTTTCTTTTTTTGTATTTTTAGTAGAGAAGGGGTTTCACCGTGTTAGCCAGGATGGTCTCGAACTCCTGACCTCGTGATTCTCCCGTCTCGGCCTCCCAAAGTGCTGGGATTACAGGCTTGAGCCACCGCGCCCGGCCACCATTTTTAAATTGAGGTTTCACATCCATATTTCTCATTCGTTTTAAAAGTATTTAAAGATTTTTATAATGAAACATTTAAGATAGACACAAAGATATACAATATTTAACATTTACTAGAATGCAAGCTCCAGAGGCAGAAATTGTTTTGTTTCTTCTCCAAGTGTCTCGTGTCTACAGCAGTGCATGGTACATAGTAGGCACTCAATAGTTCCTTGTGTGTGTGAATTAACTACATGGGCATCAATTACCAGTTTAAGAAAAAAAAACAACATAGTTGAGGCTACCTGTACATCTCCCATATTGCAACACCTCCCTTTCTTGAAGATGTACCCATTATCCTAAATTTAGTGTTTATTATTCCCGAGCATTTCTATTTCTGTGTAGGTATCCTTAAGCAATACATAGTATTTTTTTGCAAGCTTTTAAAAATTGTATCATTGGTTACATACAGTGTAATTCTTCAGCCTTTTTCTACTCAACCCTGTTTGTAAGCTTTGCTCAAATTGACATGTATACTGTAACTAGTTAGCTGATTTTCATTTCTGTATATGATTCCATAGCATGAAAATAAGTCACTTTCCCAATGGCTTACCATTATAAAGAGAGCTATGAACTTTTTGTATATGAGTCTTGGTGTACGTATGTGAATTTCTCTAGGGCATATACTTAGGAATGGAATTGCTGGCTGCATTAGAGTTCTCCAGAAGAACAGAATACTATATATATATATTATAAATATATAGTCCCACAATAGGCTGTCTGCATGCTCTATTAACCATCACACTGGCTGATATGGCTTGGATCTGTGTCTCCACCCAAATCTCATCTTGCATAGTAATCCCATAATCCCCATGTGTCTTAGGAGGGACCTTGTGGGAGGTAATTGAATCATGGTTTCCCCCATGCTGTTCTTGTGATAGGAGTGAGTTCTCACAAGATCTGATGATTTTATAAGCGTCTGGCATTTCCCCTGCTGGCACTCATTCTCTCTCCTGCTACCCTGTGAAGAGGTGCCTTTCACCATGATTGTAAGTTTCCTGAGGGTTCCCCAGCCATGTGGAACTGTGAGTCAAACCTCTTTTCTTTATAAATTACTCAGTCTCAGGTATTTCTTCATAGCATGAGGACAGACTAATACGCTGGCTCATACAATTTCTTGCATTTCCTAGGCTAAGATTCACCAAATAATCTTCAAAAGTCATTCCACCTCCATCACCAGGGTATTGGAGTTCCAGCTGTTCTGTATAACCATAGAAAGGTTTTCTAATAGATGTGAAATGGTTTTGGTTTGCATGCCTCTTTTGCTGTTTCCATTTTCTTGATCATTCGTGTTTCTTCTTCTTTGGATGACTTATTTCTTATTTACCCTTTTTTTTTTTCCCCTGAGACAGTCTTGCTCTGTTGCCCAGGCTAGAGTGCAGTGGCATGATCTTGGCTCATTGCAACCTCTGCCTCCTGGGTTCAAGCAATTCTCCTGCCTCAGCACCCCCTAGCAGCTGAGATTACAGGTGCACACCACCACTTGTGGCTAATTTTTGCATTTTTAGTAGAGATGGGGTTTTGCCATGTTGGCCAGGCTGGTCTCGAATTCCTGACCTCAGGTGATCCACCCACCTTGGCCTCCCAAAGTGCTGGGATTACAGGTATGAACCACTTGCACCTGGCCCATTTTTTCTTTTTCATTGCAGAAGTTTACAAAATATTGATATTGATCCTCAATCCATTATATGTAATTATAAATGTATATGTGAATATAGAAATACATATTTTTGCTAAATGATTTGAGAATGAGTTGCATATATAACACATCACTTATAAATATTTCATTATGAATCTCCTAAGAACAGCATTCTCCGACATAATCACAAATTTATCATGCTCAGGGAATTTAACACTTATAAAATACTGTTGTCTAATACATAGTCAACGTTTACAATTGTTTATATTTTGTAAATCCAGGACCCAGTCAAGGTTTATATAGTGCATTTAGCTTTCATGTCTCTATTCTCCTTTGGTGTAGAATAGTTCCTCCATGTTTTATGTTTTTTTCTTGTGATATTAGTATTTTCAATGAGTTGAACAGCTGCTTTGCAGAGTATTTCTCCCTCAATTTAAATTTGTCTGATAATTTTATCAATAAATTTAGGACAGGCATTTCTGACAGGACTAGCACATGGGTGAGGCTGTTTTTTTTCAGTACCTCATATTAGGTTTTATTTATTTTTTTCAGACGGAGTCTTGCTCTGTTGCCCAGGCTGGAGTGCAATGGTGTAATCTCAGCTCACTGCAACCTCTGCCTCCTGGGTGGGTTCAAGCAATTCTCCTGACTCCCAAGTAGCTGGGACTACAGGTGACACCACCATACCCAGCTAAATTTTGCATTTAGTAGAAACGAGATTTCACCATATTGATCAGGCTGGTCTCGAACTCCTGACCTCAGGTGATCCGCCCACCTTGGCCTCCCAAAGTGTTGGGATTACCAGCATGAGCCACCCACGCCCAGCCTCAGTACTTCATGAGGTTTTAGATGTCCATTGTCCTGTTGTTGGTTTCCATATAAATATTAGAATTAACTGCAAAGTCATACAAGAAACCTTGCCAAGATTTTGATTGGAATTTATTTCTATCTAGAGATCACTTGCATCTCTTTTTTAGATTAATTCCTAGGAGACGGACATGGTGGCACACACC